GGGGCACTTGGCCGGCAGCTCAGAGCCCCAGGGCTCATCACCAGTGGGTCTACAGTGAGTCTCTGTTGTTGTTTGCTGTAGTTCATTCCAGGAGCCATCTCTGCTCATCCCCTCTGCCCCCATGGTGACCCACAGAAATGCACAAAAGCTTACAGGGTATTCCCAGCGGCCTCCCTGCCTGCACTCTGCAGGCTCTGGAGATGAGGAGGAGGAACCTGGCTAGTGGTACAGGCTGGTAGTCCCATCTCCTCAGGAGCTGAGGCAGGAGGACAGAAAGTTCAAGGTCACCTGGGTAATGGAATAAATTTTCATTTTGAGAATGAAAATGAAAAAAAATGAAAGGCAGTGGTCTAGTCCATGCCTAGTGCGTGTAAGGTCCTGTTGCATCCTCAATGCTGCCCATCTCCCAGTTTCTTACTTCCTGCCTGGTTTGGCCCTGAGCTGTGACACTAGCTTGGGAGACCAAGGCCTGCTCCCAGGTTCCTGCCAACCAATAGCTGGAGCTCCATACTGAGCCTCCCAGGATCAGTTTTCTCAGCTGCCAAATGGAAGGATCCCTGACATACAAATTTACAAGGATTAAGTAGCATGGACTTTAAGAAATCTGTGAATCCTAGACTCCTCAACACATCTCAGGTGCTTCTGTGGGGTCGGGTCTTCCTTCCCATGCTGAGGCTGTCTTTACCGGGTTTTCCTTCTGGGAGAAACTGGATGCTAGGTAGAAGCGGCTCTCTGAGTAGACGGAGATAAGGCAGTGTGTCTTCCTCCTCTGGCAGTAACAGGATGATTGGCTTCCTGGTTACGCCCTGAGCTGGTGAACTTCTTTTGCACACAGGCATATGGGAAGGAGTTCGGAATCCCAGCACACAGACCGGTTACCAGCATGTGCCATGTAGGGTCCCACAGGAAGCCAGGAGGCAGAGGGAGCTCCCACTGTGGCTTCCACAAAAAGGGCTGGGCCAGGGTGAGCAGGGTTCAGATGGGCCGGGTGGGATAACTTCAAGGCTGCCAGGCTTGGGGCTGTCCCTAACTGACGCTTTGCCTACAGATGATTACAGACAGGAGATCCCCAAGTAAGGACCAGATAAGGGTGGTGGCTGTGGCTGTGGTTTCCTGCAGGCTGGTGCATTTTAAAGGCTAGCTCACAAGCAACTGGTTACCTCGCCAGTAACAGCCAGTCCTGGAAGGGGCAGGGCCAAGCCCTCCAGGATAAGCAAAGCCTGCAAATACAGAAATGATAAATGAAAATGGCAAGCATGGTTGAGCTGGGTGTGGTGGTTGCACGTGGGATCCCGGAGGATGCCTGCAGCTTAGAGCTAGCTCAAGCCAGGAGTTCTCATTGCAGCAGTTCAGAGGCTGCTGCTCAGAGGATCCTGTTCACAGGTCAGTTAGGGAAAACACACCAGCGAGTCTCTCTGGCAAGGGAGACTCTTCCTACAGTACTTTGAACGTCCATCACACACCTGTCCCCTGCCAGGCCTGTGCAGACCCTGAGCAATGGATAGGTGGACAGTGCGTGTTCCTTCCTCTTAAGAAGGGTTCCTGCAAATACAGCCTGGAAGAGCTCAATCTCTGGCCAGGACGACAAGACCAATGGGCTGCCTGATCAGAGGGGCGGGGGCAGGAAAAGTGTGGGCATGTCTCGGAACTGTGGGCAGGTGGCTTGGAATGTGCTGGCTAGCAGGCCACAGGGCTAGCGAGAGCCTTCGGCAGAGTCAGGAATGCTGGGCTGGAACATGAGGGCTGCGTTCTGAAACAAAGCGGGAGAGGAGAGCACAGGAACCCCCACTCGGAAGCTGGTCAGGAAAAAGAGGGGACAGGCATGGGCGGCTTAGAACAAGGAACACATCTGTGCTCAGAACCCTGCGAGTCACGTGGAGGCTGACGTCCAATAACCAAGGGGCAGGGGAAGGTGGTGGGATGGGTGGAGGCACAAAGCTAAAGCCAGCCTCGTTTGGAGACGGGATGATTTAGAGGGATTGTGGGATGTGAGCTCTGCTGGGTAGAGGGCAGAGATAAGATACCACTCAGTGACAGAGTAGATCGTGAACTCATCAGGGGAAAACAAATAAATAAAACCGAGAAACAGGCTGGATTCAAATGGAAAGGAACTGTAATGCCAGGATGGCATCACCATCTAGGATCTGAGAGAAGTTACTTTTGTGCCTTCTGCTAGGACGACCAAGAACCGGGTGTGGGGACTCAGAGCGGTTGATTGGACCATAGAGAATACCGCATTTATGTAAACACTGCCGAGCTGAGTGATTTCATGTGAAAGGAATACCAACCCAAATAGGTCCAAGATGGAACGCCTCAGGGCTCGAGGCCATGTCTAAAGGTCAAGGGTGTTGATGTCATTATCCAGATTTCCCAGCTGTTAAAATCTGTGACTTACTTTTGAATGACTCAACTGTCCTTCAAGGTTTTTGCCTCAGCTTCTTTTCCTGTTGTTGTGATAAAACGGTCTGGGGGCGGGGTCGGGAAATCAGCTTAAGGAAGAGAGGCTTTCTGTGGGCTCACAGTTCCAGGTTATGGTTCCTTATGGTGGGGAAGGCAAGGAAGCAGGAAGGTGAAGCAGCTGCCGCGTCCCATCTGCAGCCAGATGCTGAGAGCAGTGGACATCGTCATCACCTGCTCAGCTTGCTTCCTCCGTGTTATTCAGTCCGGGATCCCATGCCCAGGGAACATCTCACCCACAGTTAAGACGGGTCTTCCCACCTCAGTGAATGTAACCAAAGCAACCCCCGACAGCCACACCGGAGGCCCGTCTCCAATGTGATTCTAGATTCTGCCAAACTGACATTAATGTACAGACGGGAAGTAAAATGGCAGCGACTTTTGGGTAAAGATTGTAGGAATGTGGATATTTACGGAAATATTCTTGCAAAGTTCTTAGACGTTTGAACTTTGACATTTGACAGAAAAGTTGAGGAAAAGGTTGGGTAGGGGCCTGATCTCAAGGCTGACTTTCTGCAGGGAGCTGCAGGTGGGTTCCTCATGCTGCCCCAGAGTAGGAAAAGGCTTTAGACCAGGCTCACATCTGCAGAGGGTTGCAAAGAGGCAGAAACGCTAAAATTTAGGGGAAGATGGGTGGGTGGGCAGAAAAAGGTGGGGCTGGGAGGAACCGCTCCGTGTTCACAACTTTACTCGGCTTTAATTTGTGAATCACGAGACTGATCTTTTGAAGGGCAACTGCTTGCCTTAAAAATGAATGTGTGAATTAATGTGGTGCGTTATCTAAGGAATGGACATAGAAAACACAGCCAAGACAGGACTCGGAGGTTCATGCCTCTGTTTCCAGCTGCTTGGGAGGTCAGGTACAAAAATCACTGCTTAGGCTACAGAGTAGGTTCAAGGCCAGCGATTTGGTGAGTCTGCCTGAAAATAAAAACTAAGGGGCCCGAGAGGCAGCTCATTGATTGAGAACACTGGCTGCTCTTGCAGAGGACCTAGGTTTAGTTCCCAGCACCCATGTTGGGCAGCTCACAACTGCCTGTAACTCCAACTCTGGGGTGATCTGATACCCTCTTCTGAACTCCAAGGGCACTTGCATGCAAGTGTACACTCCCTATACAGAGAGAGAGAGAGAGAGAGAGAGAGAGAGAGAGAGAGAGAGAGAGAGAGAGAGAGAATTTTTAAAAATAAAATCTTTGAAAAAAACAAAACAAAACAAAACAAGCACTCCTTTTTCCATGCTGCTAGAAATTCAAGGTGAAGAAGGTCTGGGCTCCCCTGGGCTCCTCCTCAGCTTGCAGACACTGTCTTGCTGTCATGGCTGTCCCTCTGTGTGTCAACATCCACATTTCCTCTTCCTATGAGGACATCAGCCACATCAGGTCACATCATTTTAATTTGAATCACCTTTTAAAGTCCTCATCTGCAAACCTAGGACCACTCTTAGCCTTAGAACTTAAGCATCAGAGGAGGGGATAAGGGAGGCCGCGCAAAGGCCACTGGGAAGATGGCAATGCCCTGGTGGTCGATAGTAGACTTTCAAAATGCTGTAAACACCCTGGAGCTGGTTAGAAATGGTTGGTGTGGTGCAATTTCTGTGACACACATCTACTGCAGATGTAATACATTTTACAAGGGGACACCCTAGATAGGCAGGAGACTTGGAGGCTTTCCTCTGAAGGTGGTAAGGCTGCGGTCCAGGCACACTGGCAGAAAAGTAGCTGGGAGGCCAGGGACCTCAGTGGCAAATAGGGGTCTGAGTCTGGGTCTGGACAGCCATTTGGTTCTGGGCTTGCTAGCCTCTCTCCACTTGTGCTGTGGAAAGGGTGCTTTTGCTCCCTGGTTGCCAAGTCCCTTTGAAGAGGTGGCCCAGGCTCTGTGGGCAACACTGCCAGCTCCTGGCAGCCTGGCGCGGCCATGGCCTCCTGCGCGGGCGCCTTCTCCGTAAACTGGTCCATCTTAGAGTTCCCAAACTTTCCCCCACTGCCGCCAGCAGCCGTTTCTATAGCAACTGATGCCCTTCACAACCAGGGCGGGGTGGAGGGGGGAGTGCAGCGACCCCAAGCAGAGGAGAAAGGGGAGGTGAGCTGCCAGGATGGGGGACAGATTGACAAACCCAAAAGGGAGAGGATGGGGCCTGGTTTTATTGCTGTTGCGTTGAGGTCCTTGTCAAGCACCCTTGACCATCTTGTTTGATTTGATGTGTGATCTCCTGGTGCTGCAGACAGGAGACCGAACACACCCGGCCAAAGGCCACCAATGAGACACAGCTCTAAGGGCCAAGGAGCTGGGGATGCAGGGAAACAGCTGAGACTCATTAAGGTGTTTTCTGTGTGTGCCTCCTGTCCCCCCCCACCCTGCTTCTTCCTTGAAAAAACTGCCTCCGAGGAAGGGTGTTGGCTGGTGTTGCTCGCTGTGCACTATGAGGCAAGTTCCTTAAGCTCTCTGTGCTTACAGGAGAGGCGTGACTGGACAGGGTTAAATGTGGTGCACATGTGACGTTCGAGGGTGGGTGGCACTAAACCTCTCTTGCCGTTTCTTTCCAGTTGGCCATGGGCAGAGCGAAGGAGAGAGGATGGTGGTCTCGGACTTCCAAGTGTTTGTCAGAGATGTGCTGCAGCATGTGGACACCGTTCAGAAGGACTACCCTGGGGTCCCTGTCTTCCTCCTGGGCCACTCCATGGTAAGCAGGCCACAGAGAGAGGAGTTCAAAGCAAGCCTGCTTCCCAGAGGGTCACCTGACCTCCTGCTCCTCTGCCTGGATGCAATGTCCTTTTCACACACTCTATCTGTGGAGTCCCCTGCACCCCCAGCACTTAGGAGTTGAACCAGGTCCTGGAGTCCATTCCTCATGCTCAGGTCTGGAGGGATAGCAGTGAATGGGAACATCTCATGAAGCATTCCTGAAAGCGGTTTGAGTTCCTTTCCTGTTGAGGTCTCCTAGCTCCAAGAACCAACCAAGTTTAATCTCAGATGGCACCCCCTCCCAGCATCCCCCAGGCCATTCCTTCCAGCAGGAAAGCTAGCTGGCCAGCAGCAGAGGGCTGAGAACTGCTTAGACCCAGGGCACTGCTCTGCAGGGCACCTCCTCTCTGCCTGGCTCTGTCTTTACCATCTCCTGCCTGCCTGGCCCCTGTAAATGCTGGAGATTGTATGTCTGGCTGTCAGTTTCCTCTGGGCTTCAAACAGACAAGACTGACTGCCTCTGCCACCTCCTCCTCCTGCACCATCCACATTCACTCAGTACTGGATATTATTCGTGGAACTTGAATTTTGGAATCATTACTGAACACACACACACACACACACACACACACACACACACACACACACACACACACACACATCCATTACTATAATTGGACTCTCCCCTGAAAAAAGGAAACAACTCATTTGAAGTTTGTCAGAATAGATGAATTGTGCGTCTGCTAGCTTTGGGCTTGAGACTAAAAAGCAATGTGTTGTTCCATTTGTGACCCACAAGCAGGAACCTTCTTTGTGTCTGTCTGAAATGTTTGCCCTTGGAAAACGCAGAGAAGAGAACTGTGCAACAAAAACCCCACAGAGCCAGGCACGGTGGCTCACTCCTGTAATCTCAGCACTCAGGAGGCTGAGGCAGGAGGATTGTCATGAATCTCTGGCTGTCCTGGGCTATAGAATAAGACTCTGTCTCAAATAATAATAATAATAATAATAATAATAATAATAATAATAATAATATAGGGAAGGGGGAAGGGACAGGGAGAGAGAAGAAAAGAGAGGAAGGAGGGAGGGAGGGATAGAGAAAAAGGAAGAGAAGGGAGGAAGGAGCGATGTGCCAGTGGAGGGAGCCTGCTCCAGGTCCCCCCTGGGGTTCTTGGCCAGCATGGGAACAGGTGAGGGAGTCGGGGTCACGCTGGTTAGAAGCCGGTGCCACTCTGTGCATTTTGCCTTGCAGGGCGGTGCCATCGTCATCCTCGCTGCTGCAGAGAGACCAACCCACTTCTCTGGCATGGTCCTGATCTCGCCTCTGGTTCTTGCCAATCCAGAATCGGCATCAACTTTCAAGGTAAGAGGATGTTTCGGTCTTTATGGACCCAGAAGCTTTTGGAACATGGTGCATCCCTTCACGGACGGAGTCTGTGTCAAAGGGCCCACTGCTGGTCCTGAACTTCAGACACTATTGTGTGAGGGTTTGACGTCAGGGGCTGAAGTTGAAGTCAGGTGTTTCTTCCCTCCCCCCCCCCCAGACACAAAAGAGAAGGCTTCCTGTTTGTGCATGTTGTACTGGCCAAAGTTAAGAGGGGGAAAGGTCACAGGCGTTCTCCAGCTAGCAGAGTCACGTGTGCTGACGAGTCCCACGCAAGTGTGCGCGTCTGTCACTGAGCGTTTGCCAACCTCAGCAGAAAGCGAACTCAGAATGGAGCTGCAGCTGAGGATCCTGTCCCCGGTGGCTCCATTCCATCCCTGAGCTCTGCCTGCCCGACTGGATGGGTGGATGCACGCATCGTTTTGGAATCTGGGTTTAATGTGTCACGTATGATCAGTGTCTGCCGTTGTCGCCAGAGCTCTGACCCCCTTGGACGAGGTGAATGAGGCAACGAGGCACCTAGAACTGAATCTACCCCCACCCCGGAGAGAGGAGCCAAAGCCAGTAGCCCCGAGGGACTATTGAGGTGGCCTCGGTGCAGATCTGTCCTTGGGAGGCCTGAGAACCCCATAGAGAGTGGAGCACCCAAGGAGTGCCCCAGCCCTGGCAGAGGCCGCTGTGGCCTGAGCCAGCTGTCAGGAGGCTTGGAGGGGAGTGAAGGCGAGGTGATGTGTCCCGGGTCCAGGTGCTCCAGGCAGCCTCTTCTCTCACCACCAAATGATGACAGCGCCTCTTGTCCCCCTCCTGTCTCTCGGGACCCAGTCAGTGGGACCTGGCACTTGTCTGTGGTCCCAGGCAGCACACAAGGCACTGAGTACAGTGGCATCATGGAAGGGGCAAAGGCTGTGTGGCCTTCTCCACATCTGCCCCGGTGACTGTGATTCTGTGAGCCAAGACCAAGTTAGTCCAGGGCACTTTTCCAAGCAGAGTAAGCAAGACAGAGGTTAGAGGGGAAGGCTCTACCGTGTCCTACCGGCTTCATTCTGGAGACCTGTGGCCAGTGCGTCAAGAAGTCTCCAAATGGTGTCAGGAGTTGCCAAGTGGGAGCTGGGTGTTCACCCACACAGCCCCAGACCAGGGAAGAGGCAAGACCGGTGTGCTAGGGGTAGGGAGGGACACTGAGGCTTGGGAAGAGGTAGTCTAGCCAGGATTAGCCATTGAGTGGTGGATGTGAGCCCCAGGGATCTGCCCCTCACAGAGAAAATAATGCAAGTTTTCCCTTAGAGACAATCCACAGAGCTTTTTAAATAAAGTGTACCACAGCAGCTGTGCCCAGAGGAGGGCCGCCAAGGTTTCCTCCCAGGGTCCCCTGGGGCTCCACCTAGGACCAGCAGTGGCCTCACCTCTGAGCTGGTGACCTTTCAGCATTGGTACTAATAGATCACCTTGTCAAATCAGGAGCCGGGGTCTCTAGGGAGACACAGGTCTCCTCTGATTAACCAAGACAAATTAGATTTCCCTTGGCCTGCCAAGGGCCGACCCCGTCCCAGTCTGTGGCTGCCTCCAGGCTTCAGCCTGTGATGCCTTTGCCTGACACAGTCAAAGGGTGGCTCACCTGCTAGGAGCATGCAGCTACACACAGCCTTGTCCTCAGACAGGCTCCCTGAGAGAGGATCACCACATCTTTATTTTTTTTTCCAGTGTAATTTTAAATAGTAAAGAATAATTCGTAGAGTTCAAATGCTAAAAGATAGGAAAGGGTATGGAGAAAAGCCTGCCTTGGGGATTGGGTCAGCAGTCATGGCTGTCAGAGCTAGCTTCCGAGATACAGTTGGTGTGCACACACACCGTTTGTTCTTCCACGTACCTTGGGGAATATTATTGCGTGTTCCTTCGGTTGGTCTGCGTGTTCTTTGAGGGGTTTGGTGTGGTTTTGTCATTTTAATTATATGTCTTGGTGGTCTTTCCCCATCAAAATCTGAACAGAGTCTCCCATGGGGACAGATCCTAGCTTAGAGCTCCCTGCAAAGCAAACATCAGGAGCTGGAGAGATGGGTCAGATGTTTAAGAGCATTGTCTGCTCACCCAGAGGTCCTGAGTTCAATCCCCAGCAAACACATGGTGGCTCACAACCATCTGTAATGAGATCTGGCACCCTCTTCTGGCCTGCAGGGATACATGCAGACAGAGCACTATAAATAATAAATAAATATAAATCTTTAAAAAAGAAAAAGAAAAGCAAACGTCAGCCCATTTCCAGTCACTTGCTCCTGTGAGCCTTAATGACTGACTGGCTGCTTGCCACCTTGTTCTCTTTTGTGGGGGTGAGGTGGGGTTCACAGGAAGGGATTCTGAGGGGTGGAGGAGGTTGGGACTCAGAATTAGAGGATGGGGTGGAGAGGAGCTTCCCCACAATGTCCTGTGACTGTTTCCCGAGCCACATGGATCTCTAGGCTCATTTATTTGCTCTGGCATGTAAGCTTGGTGGTGGGCACTGGCCTCCGGTGCATGAATGTGGACCCACACAATGAAACCCAACAGAGGAAGAGAAATCATGTGTCCTCAGACTGCATCCTCCAGCCAGCACCCTCACCTCAGCTGGTCCCCAGATAGTACATCAGCCTTCATTTGCACATGGGTGTGCGAAGGTGACCAGCTTCACCCCTGGGATGGGAGGATGCCCAGTCACCACCATCTGCGTTTTCCACTGAGGCTGTGTTCGGTCGGACAAGCTGGGATATATTTAGCCTGAGGAAGAGACTAGGGACAAAGACAGCACCGCCCAGCCCTCTCTGCTGAGGAAGTGCTTTCACAGGGAAAATGGCAGCAGCAGGAATTTCAAGACCAAAATTGCAGAGAACAAGTTTCAGCTCCTGCTGCCCTGGCACTCCCCAACAGTCTCAGTGTCTTCTAAGATCCCTTCTTTTCTTAGGAGCCTCAAGGAAGGCAGAACTCCTAGGCAGGGCTCGGCTGGGGCTGCCAGGACCATAATCAGTGGGAACCATCTCCCCCTGCCTGAGGTCCCCGGAGTCCAGGGCTTTGAGGTGCCCTATTTTCTGGCTCTGCAGGGCCTCTAGTTAAAGTATGGAGAGGGGCTACCTCCAGGAGACCGGTCTCAGAGCACTGCTTCTCCCACACCACCTGTAAGGACAGGCAGTGACTCCTAATTCACAGGAGAGGAAGTGAGGCCATTGTCTTCCTCAAGGTCAGCATTGATTACTGCTGAACCAGGGAGCCCCTTCTATCCTAAAATATGACCGAAGTCATCTTTCTGGGACCGGATCCTACTTCCCATCTGAACGTGCCAAGCATGTTTTTGTCACTGGACTCCAGTGGACTGGAAGGAATATGGGGGAGGGGGTTGCAGGTGAGTGGCCTTGCATGGGCCAATGGGGCAGCCACCATAAGCTCTAGGTGTGACTCCCCCTCAGTCCCATGAGCACCTGCTCTCTGAGAGTTGGGAGCTCAGATTTCTAGACTTGTGTCTTGAAAGCAAGCTCTCTACCCTGGAATCATCAGAGCATGCCCCGAATCACTGGAGAAACACAAGACATTTATATTTCTATTGAACAACTGCCCAGAGAGATGCATTCCTGCCCAGAACAATCCGAAGTGACCCTAGAGAGCCTTGCCAGATCACAGATGGGCCATCCTATGGCCTCCTGAACACTGGACAGCTTTCAGGAACCACGGCAGAACGAAGGGGCAGTAATTACCTCTCACAGCAAGTTCTTCACAGGCAGGAGCTGTTAAGACCTTTTGGATCAATAAAGGCATTTATGCACATCTCTACTGTTTACGGTGATGGGCACTGCAGTTGATTCAGAACTGTCCCCTGGGTGTGACAGGGACTCAGGCCATCCCCCTCCTCCAGGCCTTGTTCATCAGGAGAGCAGCCTCGGTGGCGGGAGCGGAGTTCCTGTTTATAGGGGCTGCGTCATGGGTTCAGTGCTTCAGCCACAGAGCTAGTTGTGGGGGTGTACACCTGCCATCCCAGTTCTCTGGAAGTGGAGACAGAGGGTGGTGAGTTCAAGGCTTGCCTGAGCTACTGTGTAAGATCCTGACTCAAAAGAGCCCGGAAGTTGCAGGCCCCACACTTCTCCAGAGTCTCCACTAGGGGTGCTGTTTGCTTCTCATTGGATTGACCAGCAAGGGTCAAGGGACAAGCTCTGCAGGGGTCCGTCTTGAGAAACACCCCAGGAATCTTCAAGGTGGGCTTTACTGTCCACAATTGACAAATGAAGAAACAGGCTACCACGTGAACCTCCTGGGAACTTACCCAAAGGAATCCGAGTCAGCTTGTCACAGAGACATCTGCACACCCAAGTCCACCGCTGCGGTCAGCCAGTGGCCTAGCTGCCTGTCGACAGGTGACCGGATAAAGGAAATATGGTGTGTTCACACAAAGGAGTTTTACTCGGCCACAAAGAACAAAATCATGTCACTCACAGGAAAGTGGATGGACCTGGAAATCACTATGTAAAATGAAATAAACCAGACCCAGAAAGACAAATGTCACATTTCCTCTCATGTATGAGACCTGCATCACACACACACATACATACACACACACACACACACACACACACACACACTCACACACATAACACACACACATACACATGCAACATAAACACATATGCACATACATATATGCACATATGCATGCATACATACACACAGGCATGCATGTATCACACATACACATGTGGATGAAAACAAATATAATGTGGAAGTGGAAAGGGCATTATTGGGGAAAAGGAATGGCCTCAGCAAGAAAAGGGAATACGGGGGAGGGGGGGCAAGTGCAACAGAGAAAAATGGGGTAAATATGGGCAAAATACATGGTAAACATGAATGGGATATCTACAGAATCCAACAGGTCTTATAATGATCATATGTTAATATATGCTAATGAAAGTTGTTAGAGATTTTCTCAAGGATTCAGCCCCAGAGTTTACACCCAAGTTGACCAAGTTGGGTCCAACTTGCCTGTTGGGATTGTGGGGAGGGTGGGCAGCTCATAGTCTCCTCTTCCTGAGCTGGGCCCACAGTTGTGTCCACGCCTGCAGAGCAGCTCGAAGATCATGAAGCGCCCTATTGAAAAGACAGCTGAAGTGGCAGTGGCTTGGATACCATATGCATTCCACCTGTGGGTGAGCACGACCCCACCCTCCATGTCTGGGGGAATCAGGAGCCTGGCCTGCTACTGTATCTGAGGCTTAGGGATGCGATCACAGCTGCTTCTAGGAGCCATCTGGGAACCTTGACCCCTCGCTCCTCCGGGTGTGGGATCTGCTGGCATGCCTTCTTTCTCTACGCCTCCTGGTCGTTTGGTCCCTGTCTGCAGCTCAGTCCTCTGGTCCTTCATCCAGTCAGGTGGGGAAGGGCCTCTTGCAGATGCTTGATGCCCTGTGTCTCAGGAACAGCCCTCTGCCTGCCTTGAGTCCTTGGTGGAAGCAGCTACTATAGTACCTACATCTCTTTAAAGCCATGGGGTGGTGGTTGTCCAAAGACGCTCTCCCCTCTGAATGGGGCCTATTAGAAATGTTACTTAGAACTTACTCTGCAGGGTTAGAAAGCTGGTGACCAGAGCCGGGCTAGCATGGGAGCCTGCCCAGCAGGAGGGGCTGGACTATGTATGACTCCTACTCGGTGCACTGGGGTCGGTAAGGAGATTTCAGGAGATTCAGGCGGGATCGGCTGGGCTCTGCCAGGCAGGTCAGAACTCTTGGGGTGGCCTGGGTATCTGTGAACAGTAGTCCTCAGACATGACTGCCCTTCGTATCTTTTCCTGTTGCTGTGATAAAACATCCTGACCAAAAGCAGCTTGAGGGAAGGGGGTTTACCTCCTGCTCAGATCCAGGTTGTGGCCCGTTATGGTGAGGAAGCCGCAGCAGCAGGAGCCTGAGGGAGCTGCTTACACTGCATCTGTAGTCACAGAGCAGAGAGCGTCAAGTGAAACCTGCTTACCAGTGCTCAGTAGTGCTCGGCTCCCTTTCTCCATATTATGCAGTCCCTGGATCCTAGAAAGGGAATGTCCCCGCCCACAGTAGGCAGGTCTTCCCTCTGCAGTTATAATAACCAAGACGGTCCCTATCAGACACCCCAGGCGCCCATCTCATAGGTGACTCTAGATTCTGTCAAACTGACAACTAACACGGTCACCTCACCACACATGCGAACCCCTCTTCCGTAGTTTTCCCCTCCCATGCTCGTCCAGGAATGGGGCATCTGCCCCCGGGCTGATATCGCCATTCTCTCCCCGGGGTTGGCTTGTACCCAGGTCTCCCACAGCCACCGATAGACTGAGACACTTCTGTTCTCTGGGTGGCATCCCGTGGGGCAGACCCTGACAAAAGGCTGCATCCCTGCAGGCGATGGCCCTCATCCATGTCTGTGAGTGGGCAGCCGGTCCTGTTGCTAGGACACCAGCATCTTCATCTACACAGCCAGCACTGGACATTCATTGTTAGGAGCTGGTGCTTAAGCAGCGCACTCCCCCATCCCGAGGGCTAGCACAGGAACTCCAGGGGGGCAGGAACAACTGTGTTTCAGTGGTTACTCTGGCACCCCCCCCCCAATACAGGCCGGCCGAGGCCGGGTGTGTTCCCACCACATCTCCCCACTGGGCTTTAGGCTGCTGGGGGAAATAAAGAGGTCGCCAGGACACAGCCTCTATGTTGGGAAGGGAGGTGAGACCACAGTCCACTGTTCATCTCTGTGGGGGAACAGCCCGTTTGAAAGCAACACATCTCAGAAAGTAGTGACCTCTCCCTCAACCCCTCAGTTTTCCTTAAAAGCTTTCTTTAGCTGCCCAAATGTTCCTCGTTAATGGAGGAAGGAGCCTGCTGACTGGCAAAGAATTATTTTCCCTGTAAGTCTCCCCTGGAGGCAGATTCCCTGGCACCGGGGCCCCTCCTCCGCAGCCCCCTGTGGAACTAGAAGTGGCCCCAGCCATCCCAGTCCTTGTCTCCAACTTGAACCTCAGTGTCTGCTTGAGAGCCCCGGGGTGGAGGCCTCGGCACCTCCAGGCATCGATGCTTTGGTTTGGGAGGGGCTGGCAGCAGGTTGGGGTGTCTCTGTGCATTGAGCAGTCCTGAAGAGGACTGTGCCCAGGGCCACATGGGATCAGGTGACATGGCAGCAAGAGAGGGGTCTGGTGGTGGGTCTGTCGAAGGGCAAATGGCACTGTACGGGCTTCCTCAGTGCTGAGGCAGTCTCCGCCCCTCTATTTTGCTGTCCCTCTTAGCTGGTCCCCTCTCACTGTCTGCCCATGAATGCGGCTGAGAGCACTGATCTGTACCATAAACAGTCAGCCACTGCAGCTGCGGATGCTCCCTGCAGTGGCAGGCTGGATGATCAAGTGATCTGTCAATTGATCCATCCATTCGGCAGGAAGGATTCTGCAGTGGGTAGCCAGCTGTCCCTGACTCGTGGCTGTGGCATTGAGGGTGGGCAAAAAGTCATTTGGATCGAGCGGAAGGGGACAGTGCCTGGGACAGTGGCATCAGCACACCTGTCTTCCTGTTGCCTGGGACCTTGCTGCAACCTCTGAGAATATCAGGGATAGAGTGGGCCAACCATCAGCACACCAGGAATTGTGGAGAACAGCAGAGTATCTGGAAGTCAGTTCCGTGAAACTTTGTGGTAGTGCAAAGATTTCCCCATAGCAATACTGCTGCTGGACTCCAGTGCTCAAGGAGGCTGTGGCCCTGAACAACCCTTTTGCTGCAGTCTGAGTCCAGGGAAGGCCACAGGGCTACAGCCCACAGCTTCCTTGCACTTACTGATTGTTTTCACTTCATCCCTAGATTTTGTAGCTTTTGAAAAGCACAGCTCCCAGCTCCAGAACTCAGGCTCCCAAGAAAGCCCCTGCTTCTTGGGTTTTACAGATGTTTCCTCCAAGTGTTTGTCAGCATTCCTAGTTCCTAAGCCCTTCCCTCTCAGCTTAAGTACTGAGCTGCTGCATAAAACCCAGCTCACACACACTCACACAAATACACTAACACACACACACACACACACACACACACAACACACACACACACTCATACACAACTCTTCCACCCAGGTGGCTTCACAGAGTGAAACCTGTTAACACCCCACATGGTGTTCAGATAAGAGTCCTCCTGTGTCTACACTGGCCTGTCCACCATTGGAGTCCAGGGCTCTGGCACCCTGACACAGTAGTAGCAGCAGCAATCAACACCAGTGAGCTTTGCTGGCTGGGATACCAAGGTGCATTCAGAGTGCAGTTAGCTAAGATATTCTCAGAGGTAGGAGTTGTGGGCAGTACCCTCTAGGGACAGTCAGTTCAGAGTGCATTCCAACACAGGGTCTGTTGGGGGCAAATCAGGCCTTGCTCTGCCTGGTCCTTGGTGGCTGACTATGAGTACAGAGAAGTCAGGTTGGCTGAATGAGCCTGGGGGAGGCCTGGCTACAGCATCATCTGGAGAACATCAGTGGATGCTGTGATCATCAGAAAGAAGAATTAGAGCTCTCAGGTGCTATCATGGAGAGACAGGCAGAGAAAGGAGGGACAGTCCAAGCCACAGGACAAAAAGGACAGATGTGTCTTCACTCAGCCCTGCTGACCACTGGGAGGCCAAGGCTCCATTGTCCCAATAATTTTTTTTTGTTGTTGTTGTTTTTTTTTTTTTTACCAATTCTGGATGACGGTTAAGCCCTACTCACAAATGTAGTAAAGATCAAAAGGCAGGGCCACCTAGCACAGAGGCTCTCTGTGCACAAGCAGTTCACCCACTATCAAGAGACCAACCTGTGTGCCAAGCGCCCTCCACACTTGCTAAGAACTCACCCTCTGCCAGCTGGGTCCCAGGGTTCTGATTTCAGCATTTCACAGCTCACTTTTGAAATAGCTTCTTTCGCCCCAAGTGTCTGCACTTGCTGCAGACGTGAAATTAAACAGTCTCTCTCAGAAGGCAGACGTGCAAGATTGGGTCTTCTGCCTTCCTGGGAATATCTGAGATCCAAAGTGGGGCTGGGCTGAGGCCAGAGTCAGGCTCATCGTGTTCACTAGGCATGTATAGAATGCCAGGCTTATCACACAGAGTGGTATTAATCTCCCCTGTGGTTGGTTCATTTGGGGGGAATGACAGGGTCCCTATTGGCAGCTGTGCCAACAGAGCTCAGCATTGAGGTCCAGCCTGTGTTCCTGGCTCACGGAGCTGGGAACCAGACAGGGGGCTCCTTCCCTTTGCCACAGGACTTCCTGTTCAGGCTGGTGGCGGCTTGTTTTCCATGTGGTAGAACGTAACATGCAAGTGATTCTCTCTGATCCAAGCTGCCCTGCTTCCTTCGCTTGCTGACAACTGATCCAATGATTCTGACTCCGCTGTGTCGTTTCGGTGCCTTGGGGGAAGGGGTGCATTCAAGGGCACAGCCCCATCAGTGGCTCTCAAAAGTAATTCACAATTACATCTGCTGTGTGGTTATGTCTGCACAGGATCCAGAGCCAGAAAACAGACCCGGTGGTTGCACCAGCAGGAAAGCAGCCCTGTGTCAGGGCCCTGCATCAAGCAGCATCCCTGAGTCCTGAGCATCAAGGCCACGGCGCTCGGCTTGGGTGTCAGCTCCTTGCCCAGGTGGTACCCTAGCCCTCCAGTACGGATGGCCTGCACTCATGACTCTCGTTTTGCCTCCCGGCCCAGGTCCTCGCTGCCAAAGTGCTCAACCTTGTCCTGCCAAACATGTCCTTGGGGCGCATCGACTCCAGCGTGCTGTCCCGGAACAAGTCGGAGGTGGGTGCGGCTGGACAGAGAGGTGTTGGGAACAATAAGCAGGTGAAGGCGGGGAGGGCCCAGTGAGACCTGAACTCAGCTGGCTCCTAGGCACTCTGCTCCCATTTCTGGGTGGTGGGGAGATGGGGGACATAGTGGACATAGTGCAGTGAGAAGTGTTGTCCTTGCCTTAGGGGTTAGGGGAAGGTGGAGAATCTGAGCACCACTCCAGACAACCAGAGAACTTGATGGAGGACATGCTGTATGGTTAGGCCTCTCTTGGTTGCAAGTGACAGAAACCTAAGTCAAAGAGATTCAAGGAGCCAGGGGATGGCCCAGTGATTATGAGAGCTTCCTGCTCTTGTAGAGGACCCCAGTTAGGTTCCCAGAATTCCACACTGGTGGCTCACAACTGCCTATAACTCCAGCTTCAGGGAATCTGACACCCTTTTCTGACCTCCTCCAGCACCCCCACACACACGATGTACACATAAAAATAAAAAATAAATGAAGGGATTTAAGCACAAGAGGGCATTTCCTGGTAACAGGAACTGAAGGCTTCAGGCAGAGTTGGATCAGGGATCAACATCTCTATAAGAGTCTGCCCTTTCTCTCTGTCTCTCCCCGACAGCACCTCTGCTTGGCTTTATCCCCATCCAGGCTGTCCCCTAGTTAAGGCAAAGAAACCATTAGCCTTATTACCCGAGCAACCCAAGTGCCAAGGCAATGCCACTTCCCTAGACATCCCAGGCTGCCTGTCTGCTGTGTAAGACCTGCAGGATCTGTCCAGGAAATGGGTAGGGCTAGCCCCATCTAGACTCTGGGCTCAAAGAAAGGAAGGCAGGTGCTGCATCGTGGAGGTAGTAATTGACAGACCCCTGTCATAGGTGTGAGAAGACCTGCCTGGGGTTCCCACTGCTGGGCTAGCCTGAGAAGCTGCCCTGGGGTTCCCACTGCTGGGCTAGCCTGAGAACCTGCTGGGAGTTCCCACTGCTGGGCTAGC